TTTTAATCTTGGTATCGTTTGATAGGGAATTAAAAATGCTAAATAAATTCTTGACATTTAGAATTAGCCGTTTTCGAGTTATTTAAATTAATTATACAAATTCAAACGGCCGCCATCTTGAAATTTACAATCAAAACAACTTTATTATTTTTTCTATAATAGGTTTTGTATATGTTAACATGGTTACTTAAATTTCATAATTATCAAATGAAAAACTTCACAGATAAAAATATTTTTGTATAAAAACAAAATGGCGGATAACAGGGTAAATATGCATTTTCGGACATACCTTCACATAAACGTTTTCCTTCCTTTTAGTATGATGATTCATTTCCCAAAGTTCTGAAACGTTTTTTATGGACACCCTGTATATCTCTTTAAGACAAACAAATGTAGCATTGACTTTAGTAAAGTATGGCATTAATATGCTAGCTCCGCTCAATATTGCAAGCAGACAACTGCATTGTACACCTAGTACATTTTTAAATTTTCATTTTCAACTGAGTTGTGTAGCAAAATAAGAATTTTCCTGAGGTAGTGGCTGTCACCAATCACGTTATATGGCTATAAATCTCTAATTCCAAAATGTAGTCAAAATCCTTCCGCTGGATTTCGAGATATATCTTACAGACAGACAGAGAGACAGACAGACAGACAAACAAACAGAAATGGCTCGTATTAGAGTATAGGATATCTCTTAAAACCTATTTAAATTAGCCATCTGCAAAATGTGATTACACAAAACTATGCAAGTGTTGTTTCGTCCTAAATTATCAAACCTAATAGCTACACTGGAATTGCCCACTTAGCGTACTATTGATGTCACCCATGAATGTTAATTGAATATATGATGAGTATTTAGAGCAATGAAGCTATAAAGATGTGGTCAACTTAATTTGGCTATCAAAATCTACAGATCTTGAGTGTAATAAAAAACAAACAAAACCCTCCTGTATCATTTGTAAAACGTCGAACTTGAAAGGGGTCAAACGTTTTATGAGCTAACCTTCGCACATTCTGCTGTAATTTAGGCAATCCCATTAGCGTGTAGTAATCCAGTAATCCTTCACACAACATACAACTGATATAACCATAACCGGGTAATGATCCGACAGTAATAACTAATGAAGACTATTTAGATTTACGTGCAAAACGTGTTGCCTTTCAACAACTTAGTATCTGAAGGGAGATCAAATAAATAATTCATACAACGTATTAGAAATTTAAACTGGATTGCAGGTGTATAAAGTACATCTCATTCTCATCTATCCTCAAAATGTAGAAGTCTGTATTGTTTTTTAGGGAAAACAATCTATAATTTATCTGTGATGTAATAATTTGATTCACCCTTGTTTTCATGACGTTTACAAACAACTTGTAAAAGTGTTTTACTTTCTATTCTATAACTCCGAGATATTTGATTTGAGTGAAATTGAAGTAATTTGAGTAATATTGATTACAATCAATGGCGTACGGTATATAGCTTAAAGGATCACAATATACAGAGTTTTAAAATTCATAACGACGTTGGTATTTATCATGTTATATTATTTAATTAATTTCCAACGTGTCTTGTGTTTTAAACTACACAACGTTTCTGGAGGTGGATAAACTCCTCCCGTTATCAAGTGAAAATATACTAACGCTTCATTAAACTAAATTGACCCTCAAAAGTTGGCCAGTCACAAACACTTTTTGCTGAAAAAAAAACAACTATTTACAACGTATATCCACCTCCAAAAACGTTGTGTAGTTTAAAACACAAGACACGTTGGAAAAGTCCAATTAAATAATATAACATCACAATATACACCCGTTTTCTTGTTATTTGGTTCGTCGGTGCAGAGAAACTGTTTAATCTATTTAGATTTTATTGTCGGGGTTGGATAGTTTGTACTAACCCATTATTAGCATGTTTATTCACTGACGGATATTGACAAGATAAATTTAGAACTATTTGGTCTTATTCTATCACAGTCTTATCCTATAAGTTTAAGGAACCACAATAATGTAGCTTATGTTATTTTATGTTTCTATTTTAAGTTCTTAGGAAAACATTTTTTAGGACCAGTTTCAGCACTAAGTCAATATATTGTCTAAATCCACGCCAAGATGACCTAGTGTATATTTCTCATTAAATAACATCTATTCTGAGCAGTAAAAAAACTTTAAACTGACATTATTTGCTCTTTTATCGCTGCATTGTTCAATCTATCTCAAAAGCCCCGACTGATATCACCTCTGCAATGACTCCGAGACATGATTGGTCAGATAATTGGAACATTGCGATAAGTTCTTGGCAAACACTGAAAAGACTCGAATGACTCTAATGTGAGTGTGGTAATAATGAGGAAATGATGGTGACGAATTCCTAGTTTTAAAATATCTGCTGCTTGATTGTGAAAATAATCTGGACACAACGCGGCTAAATACGTGATACATAATACACATAATACGTGATACATACGTAATACATTTAATTTATTATCATTGAAAGTGACAAACTTACGGTTACAAAGATGTGAAACATGCCAAGTGTTATGGTTGATGAAAGCTTTAAAAATAGTCAAAACATTAAAAACAATTGATCAGCCCCCCCCCTGAATTTACTTTGTAGAATAATTATAGCGGATAGGCTCACAGCCATTTCTCAATACCAATATGTGATAAACAAATCTTCAATTATAATTGATGATTATATATATAACACTATGTTTGAATAAAGAAACAATTTTTTTTATTTAATAGAGTCTGGCCCCTGTCTATCAAATTGTTCTCATAACTCTATTAACATTGGGACGCGAGCGTGTAATAATTAAAGACTGTTACGCTTCTAAAAATTCAAACCTATAAATTACACAGTTATTGGTTTTATCATTAAATTTTACAAGTACAAATTTCACTATTTCACTACGAAATTTACTGATAAAATATTTACAGATAAGGTTTAACCATGGAATAATTTACAGGGTTAAAGAGAAGATAGGTTATGCTACATTACTATTTTACAGTACTAGCCGTAACCCTGTGCCTTGCAACTGGGTCAGTATGCAAAAGAGACAATGTGTGCTGTCAAAATGCCTTAAAATGGTTTCAAACCCACCATTTAATAAAACAATATCTTAATCCGAATAAAAATATCAAAATGGTGGCCATTTAAATTATTTCATAAAATTTGCCATTTTTAATAATTTTAATGTAAAAATAAAAATGGCCACCATTTCGATATTTTTATTTGGATTAAGATACATTTTTAACGTTGGTCTGTTTTACCTCAACATAAATACCAAGTTTCATATGGTTGGTTAAAAAAATGCAAAGATAAAAATATTTATGTGAAAAAAACAAGATGGTTATAAACCTGATTAACGACGCGATTATGTAAAAAAATGTTTTTCTTGATTTTCTCTTTATTTTGAACCATAGAACCATTTTCTAGAGTTTAGTTGTTTACTTACGGGACACAATTTATATATGAATTTGAACGGATGTTGTTTTTGGCCTCTGGGGACCTCAAAACCAAAAATTAAATCGGTCCCGGCCTCCCGGGTCCAGGTCTTACCATGAGACCTACGGTAATAGCTTATTCCTATATGAGAAATTCGCTAAAACCAATAATTCTCAATAGATAATAATAAAATTTAATTACATAGTACTAACGCTTATCAGGATAAAATGTGTAAATATGATTTCGAACGGTCAAACAGGTTTCGCTCACATAAAAAGGTAGATTTTCGTTTTGATTAATGGCCTGAACTGTGATAATTAGCCGTTGGAGCTTGGACTAGGAAGGCCAACAGGTGCATGTAAACTGTACAGGATCAGATAAGCTCAAATCAATAACGTTATCCAGCGACCACAGTGGTCGCTGACGTTATCGCAAGCTTTTGAATTTGAGAATTCTGTGGTTCTTCCTTCTTTATCTCATTGAGTGAAGTTTTAACTTCTTCCCTGAGATCAACAATTTCTATATAAAATATTATTTGTTGAAAACTGGAGATCCTAATCACTATGATCCCATCGATACTTCTCAAAATTTGAAAAAAGACCTTAAGATAACATGCGGTTTTTTCAAATAATGAAACAGAATATACGGCCACAATCTGACAGTAGAGACAGTAAAGACAATTATTGAATAAGTTTTGTGATCAAATGTTTTAACAAACACCAACTAGGTACTGTAAGGAGTTTGGAATTTGACTGTGTAAACTAATAATTAAGTTTAAAGTCTATCTTTTACATGATTCAGTACAAGAAATCGTACTTATCAATCGAGTTAGACGTTTGAAATTGCTCATGTATCGTACTTTGATTGTCCTAGGACGCTAGGCGCGAGCCCGGGGTCGTTTTTCACAGTACAGTACTTCATAGTGGTTGCGGCATTATCACTTCGATAAATTCCATTGGTGATTTGGCACGATTTGAACCCGGGACCTTTGGGACCGATGTCCCGCGCTCTAACCACAACACGAGCTGGCTCAGTGTCTCTAAGAGCTACTTTTAACGTTACTTTTTAGGCACTCCGAGTTTTGTATCAGCAAGAGCGATAGCACTTTGAGAAAACAAATCAAGTGGTTCATCGTGTTATGTTAATTTTAACTGCAAAATTTTCTTCTAGAAAATTTCGTTTTGAATTTTATTGAACATTGTTTAGGCCTATTACTGTTAGCAAAATCATCGCCCATATATCGTTTTGACTTTGTCATTCTGAAAGCTGATGGCTCGAATAAGCAACCCTCAAAAAGATCATTTTAAACTGTTAATGGCACCAGTAAAATATGACAAAAAACTATGTTTGAGGAGGTGGGGAAAATTTAAAATAACTCAAAACATATAAAAAACGTGGATGACTCGAATAGTTCAAAATTTAGTGTAAATCATAAACAACGATAATGTAAGACTTGCGCCTGTATACAGTTGTTGAGACCGGGACGTAGGACAAAGTCAAGTGAAAATGAGAATAAGACTGTGCTAGAAGAAGATGGAATGAATGATCATACCTCTGGTATGGCACGGTATCGTAGAGATGGAAAGCTTAATAAGTGAAGCGTGCGGTGACCAATGATGACCCAGAGCATGGCGATCACTCGTAGACCATTCAAACATGTGATGGCAGCGGTCGTGGTGGAGGTGTTCACCATCTGACCAATGTTAGCTCCTAGCGACCATGCTGCTAGCAGTCCGTTGCGGTCTGAGGATAATAAATACAAGTAATAAATATAGGCTCAAACTTGGCAAACATGTGATGGCAGCGGTCGTGGTGGAGGTGTCCACCATCTGACCGATGTTAGCTCCTAGCGACCATGCTGCTAGCAGTCCGTTGCGGTCTGAGGATAACAAATACAAGTAATAAATATAGGCTCAAACTTGGCAAACATGTGATGGCAGCGGTCGTGGTGGAGGTGTTCACCATCTGACCAATGTTAGCTCCTAGCGACCATGCTGCTAGCAGTCCGTTGCGGTCTGAGGATAACAAATACAAGAAATAAATATAGGCTCAAACTTGGCAAACATGTGATGGCAGCGGTCGTGGTGGAGGTGTCCACCATCTGACCAATGTTAGCTCCTAGCGACCATGCTGCTAGCAGTCCGTTGCGGTCTGAGGATAACAAATACAAGTAATAATTATAGGCTCAAACTTGGCAAACATGTGATGGCAGCGGTCGTGGTGGAGGTGTCCACCATCTGACCAATGTTAGGTCCTAGCGACCATGCTGCTAGCAGTCCGTTGCGGTCTGAGGATAACAAATACAAGTAATAAATATAGGCTCAAACTTGGCAAACATGTGATGGCAGCGGTCGTGGTGGAGGTGTTCACCATCTGACCAATGTTAGCTCCTAGCGACCATGCTGCTAGCAGTCCGTTGCGGTCTGAGGATAATAAATACAAGTAATAAATATAGGCTCAAACTTGGCAAACATGTGATGGCAGCGGTCGTGGTGGAGGTGTCCACCATCTGACCAATGTTAGCTCCTAGCGACCACGCTGCTAGCAGTCCGTTGCGGTCTGAGGATAACAAATGCAAGTAATAAATATAGGCTCAAACTTGGCAAACATGTGATGGCAGCGGTCGTGGTGGAGGTGTCCACCATCTGACCAATGTTAGCTCCTAGCGACCATGCTGCTAGCAGTCCGTTGCGGTCTGAGGATAACAAATACAAGTAATAAATATAGGCTCAAACTTGGCAAACATGTGATGGCAGCGGTCGTGGTGGAGGTGTTCACCATCTGACCAATGTTAGCTCCTAGCGACCATGCTGCTTTGTAGTCACGCAGACTGGTTTAATAATTGGTGTATGCACAATGGACATAAGGTTGGTTAAGATATGCCCTCCTGGAAATATTAAAACACTATTTAGGACAATTATCGTTAGGATCTTGATTAATTAATGATGATATTCCTTATGGATTATGTACATGCACGTAAGATCGGAATAAAAATATGTTTGAGGTGGTTTCATTAAGTGAAGGTACCCGCTACAAAATATATCAAACACTGCAAACACAATGTACAAGTTTATATTAATAGATTAAAAAACTATTAAAATATTTATTTTTTAGTTTCACAAACGATTTATTAGCGAATTTCCCTATAGGGAAGTAGCTATTACCGTAGGTGGCACGGTAAGACCTAGGCCCGGGACCGATTTACTTTTTCATTTTGATGTCCCCAGAGCCAAAAACACCATTCGTTCAAATTGTTATATATGTGTATATATATATTTATATATACATACGTGAACGCGATAACTTGAGTAATTTTTGTTCGATTTTGATGAAATTTGGTTTAAAGGTGTAAGGCGGGATAAACTTGAATGAGTTCGCGAACCAGCCTGATCAAACCATGGGAACGGGGTTTTACGGGAGGTTTTATGGGGTAAAAATTGGGTTTTCTCATTTTTGACCCTCAAAACACAAAATGTCTCAATTTCTCTCTAGACCTTTTTAAAGAGCTTAAAAAACAAATAATTTAGTATATTCAAATGTAGTTGTAATTTCTTACCTGATTCTTTGCATCTAGAGTCGTATATCGTGCTGAGAACTATCATCACTAGAAGAACAATAATGATGAATCTGAAACGATCAAAGCATCACACGTAACTGAATGTTTTACAAACATTACTTTCTGAGCATTAAGTTTTTTATACAAAGGCATATGTAACTATGAAATTATAAATCATTATTTATACTATTATTTGTTTATAAGTATCTTAAATTTTTACCTTAAGAAGACCTAATTTGAACTTTATTTTTAACATTTACCTTTTACTTTTTACCTATTAGTAAATTTAGTGGACATTTTAGACATACCTTTTGAACAACGCTAAAATTTGATTTCATCGTTGGAATATTGTGCGTTACAACTTATTTGGAAATTATTTTATTCATCTAGGCCTAATCATTTTAGCCTATTACAACCAGCACGAAACCCTACATGTCATTGTCAGCCTTTTTCATTGTAGCTTTTAATTTTGTTACACTGTCAATTTTGAGTTAATATATAATTTGAGTTAATTGTCGATTTTTTTTCTATTAATCAATCATAGAATGTCATAACAGTGGACAAGGATTTAATCGATAGGTATTTAACATATCTCAATAATAATAATTTAGTAACATCAACTCAGTATAAACTAGAAACACGAATGAACTCAAGCGTTATTGAACACAAATTTTAAATTTGTCTTCAGTTGATCGAGGATGGTGAATATACAGGGTGTCCCAGACCATTGGTTTCTATTTACTGTTTTTTTGGTGTTATAGAAGCCGGCCGGGTGGTCTGGGACACTCTGTATAAAGTGTAAGGTTTATTTGTGTTTTTGTGCAGGTACCTACATTGAGACTACCTCGCCAGCGGTGTATGGCAGAGGTACGGAGGTAGAGCAGCTGTGAGGGTGTATGATAGCACTGGCGTTGACAGAGTTGAGAGCGACGTCCATGTGAACCTTGACATCTCTAGCAGTACAGGAGGACGGAACACACACTGCGAACGCCAAGTCGCTCCGGATAGTTTCCAGGAATGGACTCTGGAACAAACACATTTAATTGGCACTATGTACAAGAGCACGGAACACACACCACGAACGCCAAGTCGCTCTGGATAGTTTCCAGGAACGGACTCTGGAACAAACACATTTAATTGGCACTATGTACACGAGCACAGAACACACACTGCGAACGCCAAGTCGCTCCGGATAGTTTCCAGGAACGGACTCTGGAACAAACACATTTAATTGGTACTATGTACAAGAGCACAGAACACACACTGCGAACGCCAAGTTGCTCCGGATAGTTTCCAGGAACGGACTCTGGAACAAACACATTTAATTGGTACTATGTACAAGAGCACAGAACACACACTGCGAACGCCAAGTTGCTCCGGATAGTTTCCAGGAACGGACTCTGGAACAAACACATTTAATTGGTACTATGTACAAGAGCACAGAACACACACTGCGAACGCCAAGTCGCTCCGGATAGTTTCCAGGAACGGACTCTGGAACAAACACATTTAATTGGTACTATGTACAAGAGCACAGAACACACACTGCGAACGCCAAGTTGCTCCGGATAGTTTCCAGGAACGGACTCTGGAACAAACACATTTAATTGGCACTATGTACAAGAGCACGGAACACACACTGCGAACGCGTCGCTCCGTATAGTTTCCAGGAACGGACCCTGGAACAAACACACTTCTACTGACACACGTACTTGAAAAATAACTCATGTACGTACAGTAGTAGTAAACGTTTGCCGTAATTTATAACGAACACACACTAGGATTGTTACTGACAAAGATCAGCTGGTTCTTAATCCTGGACCACTTACTGAAAGCTTAAGAACACAATCACACGGACAGCTGGGCCCAGTTTCGGGCCATCAAAAAGATTCTGACTTTTCTCAGGGTCGAACCATGGTCGAACCGGAAACCTTCTGTTTAATAGGCGAGCACTGTATTCACTAACTGTGTACTAATTCTGCAATACTAATTAATTGTTATTAACCCTAGAAAATTATTATGAGTATTATAATATATTTCTATTTAAAATGTTTCTCTATACAATTAAGTCGTTACATTCATTTTGCCTTTTAACTGGACTTAAATATCTTTCCCCTAGTAATAATCCTGTCATATATTTACCGTCCATGGATTACAGATGCATGTTGTAACAGATATTCACTTATACTGTTTTGGAACATTTTCGCACGCTACAACAAATTAAATTCCCAAAACCAAACAAGAACGCATCATTACAGAAGGATTTCCACAATAAAGGGCAAATTAAGCAGACGCCATCGATAACTACATCCTGTAATACAGATGTTCTCCGGTAATTGGCTGTTAATAGTGGCTACAATCACGTTTGCCCATAGAGTAATTAAACGTAATAACCCCTTGTAATCCAAGGTCAAATCATACTCTGTGGAAACTCACGTGATGTGTTCGCTCGGAATGTGATGCGCATTCTTGTACACCACGTGCTCGTTCATGTCAAAGTACTTGTACACACACGTACGCTCGGACACTTGAAACTTCCAAGTACTTCTTACATCTATTTATCATATCAAAGATTACATATGCTATGCAAAATTTTTGCGTAGCATATGTAATCTTTGATCATACAAACTAATTTTGTTGTTGGCTCCAAATACTTTAAATTGCACCATTTTGATTGCTTAATCATAATAGATTTTTTAATACCCCGCCGCAGCAAACCTGCAGACTAAGTGAATTTCCATTTGCCAGATTGGATTTTCAAATAAATCTATTTAAATTACATAAGGTCAAGTACTTAGGTTTGCTGATACAGGGAGGGTATTAAAGTGTGTTTTAGTAAAGTATTAATAGCTTAGTATAAAATGACAGTGATACAAATACAGTTATGACTTTAAACAATCTAGTTCCGCGAAAAAACAGCATGTCCCTCCTCGACGCCTTCTATAAAAGTAAATACGAAAAGCAAACAAATTTAGTTAACCGATATTATTGTACATTTTAAGCTAAAGCAAAATAAATTATACATTATTAAAGTTTTTAGTTTTTAGAGTTTACAAGTAAACAGATACATTTATTTAACCTTGGCTCATTTATATTTTACGTCGAATGCTCCTAGAAAGCGTTGGTTCTGTTTTCCTGTAAACATATTAAATACTTGCTTGTAAGTAGACAATCTTGAAGCATCAAGGACTGCAAGTAAAAAGGTTAAAGTGATTGAGATAGACTAGCTATGATGGTGACGTTATAAGTCATCTTGTAGTCGTAGTCTGGACATGAACACAGTAACCCTGACCGTTGACTTTAGCTGCATCAACATAGTCTGTCGTATGGACTATCGGCTGATTGAAAAGTAATCTCAGTCATTGATTTAAAGTGAGGCCTAAACGTACCTACATAGGAGTATTCATAGTTTTCACGTTACAATGACTTTGAATTGTACTTGTTGACCCCACGTCATATTGTATAACTTGAAGCCGGTTTAGGCTAAAGATAAGACATATATACTTTAATATGGTATATTTTACTATAGTTCGGCCGCTTAGAAAACGACCTGCGCGCTAATGCTAAACCAATGCTGGAGGAGGTCGCTTTCTAAGCGGCCGAACTATAGTAAGCTTTACTGTTAGGTTAGATGTCTTGTCAAAACCCGACTCTTTTTTTCTTCACAAAGAAAAACAATTCTTGAACGGTTGGTATTTGTTTTATTTCCTCAATAGTACTTTATGTAACTAAAATATTTAGCAAAAATGTGTGTTGAGCAGTTAAACTTGCATTTATTTGGAAAACGAATAACTACTTATTGTACAGATGATGGTTTGTGATAAATACCTGATGCGAATGTAATGGGAAGTGAAGTCGTATAATTAAGGTTAATTTGATGGTTGAAAATGCAATTTAATTTCAAATTGCCATAATTATCAGGCTTTAGTAATTAATTGATACTCTGAAAAAATACAAACAGACCTATTATAACCTTCGGTGTGTAATAAGGAACAAAGGAGTGTTATTACTAAGTTACTTGCTAGTTACTACTAATCGGAAGGGGCCACTACGTCGAATAACAAATGCAGAGATAATACATCTGCGGTTTGTAAAATTGTGTTGATTTGTTTTATATAAAACATTGCCAAATGACAGGGTAAGTGGTTGTGGTTTCAGTCTGTAGACGATTTATTAGCACCCTACAGCGTAACATGTTGCTCGCCTTGAAACTGCAGGCTTTACTAAATCATAAGAGATCATAGTGAATTGAAACGTGGAATTAGACAACACGTGGGTTATTAGTTCTGTCGGCATGGAGAGGCATGTAGAATCATCAAAAGTGTAAGGTCAATTCACGAAAGAAAATTAATATTTTAACCCAAGTATCTGGTACGAATATTAGGCCGGAAACGGTATGGATCATAAAATATAAAACAAAAATATGCCACTAGCCCTAAAGTGCTAAACATGATCGGTTAATATGTTTTTATCTAATTTCCCATATAGGGAATAAGCTATTACCACATGATCTCATGGTAATACCCTACACAGATTTATTTTCTCGTTTTTATGTCCCCAGTGGTCAAAAACATCATCCGTACAATTCACAGTACGAATACAGTACCGTACTGTAGTAGAACTGCTATCGGTTAGCATGGCGTTTATACATGCAGTTTTTTTTTTGTTTGGAGAGTTTCCCACGTCGCCTCAATCTTGTAAATCTTGTCTCGAGTTTTCCTCATTGTAGCTGCAACGCTAACAATTAATTTATCGGATAAGAATAGTCCTTTACTCAACGCGATTACCTGGTTGTACAGGAAACGGGTATCATGCGTGGGCAACGACGTCGAAATCATGGTGGGTTATGTAAAATAGACAATATTGTACATCCATACTATCTACGATACTCTTCCATGTATGCACGAAATCATGGCGGGCTATGTAAAATATACAATTTGTACAACCATACCATCTACGATACTCTTCCATGTATACACGAAATCATGGCGGGCTATGTAAAATATACAATTTGTACAACCATACTATCTACGATACTCTTCCATGTATACACGAAATCATGGCGGGCTATGTAAAATATACAATTTGTACACAAAACTATTACCGTATGCTAAATCCCAATGAAAAAGCAGAATGAATCTCAATTTATTTAGAAGTACTGTAGATGCGAAAAGGTGAAAATCGTTGTCAGAAGCCATTTTGAAACTAATATGATTTTGTTTACATCATTTCTTTATCTGCTGTCATTGGTGAGCATAAAAGTCGAACGATGGGTTTCAATGACTAGAGGAGAATAAAGTCTGTGCGAGTAGCACTTATACTTATACTACATCATAAATGTGTATCTTATTTTTGTTCATTTGCATACTTTTACAATACAGAGTTGTTATTATTTCAGCAATCAAATGTCTACGGTTTGTAATAATAATGTTTTTCGTATTTATAAAATGTCTGTTTACGATATTGTTTTAACGATTAAACCAATTAACCACAACCGAGCAAGGCTAGGTCCCCTATTTTTCTTCAACTACCAAAGTAGTATCATGCATTGTATTACTCAAGCTACACGCTGTAGTTTATGGCCTCTGGAAACATCACAATATTGATCATCAGCTATAAAAATCAAGTTTGTACATTCGTGCATACATGGAAGAGTGTCGTAGATAGTATGGATGTACAAATTGTATATTGTACATAGCCCGCCATGATTTCGTGCATACATGGAAGAGTATCGTGGATAGTATGGATGTACGCAATTGTCTATTTTACATAGCCCGCCATGATTTCATGTATACATGGAAGAGTATCGTGGATAGTACGGTTGTACAAATTTGTCTATTGTACATAGCCCGCCATGATTTCGTGCATACGTGGAAGAGTATCGTAGATAGTATGGTTGTACAAATTTGTCTATTGTACATAGCCCACCATGATTTCGTGCATACGTGGAAGAGTATCGTAGATAGTATGGTTGTACAAATTGTATATTTTACACAGCCCGCCATGATTTCGTGTATACATGGA